GGAAAAAAACTAATATTTCATTATGCCTCTGAAGATCATTACTATATAATAAACAATTATTATTGATGCTTAAAAAACATTTATACTGAGTTTCAAAACACATAACTATCTACAATAATAACATTTTAGGACCACCATATTCATTTAAAAGGACTAGTCCTAACAGAATTATTACGTAGGTCTATTTGAATTTGATTTACAATAGAGTAAATATTGGAGAAAATGTTATGCATAAATAAAATAGCGATGGTAAGTCAAATCTGAAAAACAGGTCAAACATGTTTTTAAAGCATAGAACCATGTTCCCAGCTGGTGTTGCTCAAAAGTAAAAAAGTCCTATTGTGAAGGGGTTAAGTTTATTAACAGCTGTTTGACATTATAACTAATCTCCATGTTCAGAGGCATTTGAACCCAAGCTTGCCTCTAAATTCCTCTGACACTGAGTAATTAGTGCAATTATTTATTTGTTAAATTTACATCGTGGCACGCAATAGTCAGATTGTTAAAAAAACCTAAAAACACAAATAAAAACATATTGAACTTTTAAAATGCATCAATAAAAGTAGCAACAACCAAACAATTGCAATTAATTTCAGCATCCGGCCTTCTTTATATACTTAAAGTCTGTCTAGATCAGTATTTCTCAACCTTGGCAATTTTAAGATAGGTAGACTAACCCCCAGAATTCCCCAACCAGCATTGCAGCCATTCAGGGAGTTGGAAGTTTACTTCTCTTAAGTTAGGAAATACTGTTTTCAATAAAATGCTTTGCCTACTGATGGAAGAGTGTAATAACTCTTAGCAGAATCTTAGCAGAACCTGAAAACAGCAGCCAAAAGAATTTTTTTTATGCTCAAAACAAAGATTTTTCAATTGATAGCAGAATAGTGAAAGTCTGAGCAGGTTCATTGTAGAGAATCACTCTCTTCCAAATATCTGATTTGAATCCTAAAGGACTATGATTTCCAATCAGTTTTTTATCAGTGTCAATGGCCTCAACCATCCCTTGGATGTGTTGATGAACTTGGCCTAATAACTTGCTTTTCTTAAAGTGATGACCATTAACAAAAACATTCTGGGATGGTGGCTTCTCTAATTGGAGATGGGATGTGGAAGCCAAGGATTTTAGACAGTTTTTAAGAGAGCACATATAGTTCAGTGGTTAAGGTGTTGGCCTTGAATCCAGGGCACTGTAAATTTCTAGGCCTGCCTTAGACACAAAGAAATCATGATCATGACAATGATGCTTCTTTGATGTTCAGAATCATTCTTTGCTTTTAATTTTACTGCAATTTTAAAAAAGAAATGTAGAAAAAACAAAATATATAAAACAAAATAAAAATAACAATAATACCTGACAAATTAGTCAGTTATTAAATTATAGAAATAAAATGAAAAATGAAAGAACTAAAAAGCAAATCTAAACAATATTCTAAATTAATATTAATCACTTGTATATCTTACGTCCACTTCATCATGCAATAATATATCAAATTGTGCATAGAATTTATGTTCTTGTAAAATACTATGAAAACCATGCCAAAGAGAAAGTTATATTTGATTAACTTAAGTTTTAGCAATTTAGATTAAATTTTGACTGATTTAATTTTAAACATTTTTTTAAAAAAGGATAACTTACACATTTTTGTTCAGTTTTGGATATTTGGGGCTCTAGTGCCTTTTCTGTCAATATAATTTTGCCATTCTGCATGTCTGATATAACCAGTAAACCTAAAAACATCAGACTGCACAACCATCATTGTTGAAAAAGAAGTGTGATTTATGAAGCTCTATTGCTTTCTGAACAGATAGATATGAAGCAGAAAAATATTTAATGACAAGTAATTGGATAATATATATATATATTTTAAACCCTGAAGTTAATTTCTGATCCCATGGACTGGTTCACTCAATTTTCTTAATCAGACCTGATTACATTTTTCAGTTTTTTGTTGCCTTATATAAACCTGTCAGTTCAGTGCATAATGCAAAACCAGATCATTCATGTAATAATCATTTAATAAATTAAGTGCATCATGGACCCACCCACTGGCTATATGATAAAATCAGGTGTCCATAGGAGCCAATATTTTCATCAAGATGAAAGCAATGTGAATAATCCCAATGCAGATACAAAAAAACCTTATTGTATTATTTACCCCCCCCCGCCCCCCCCCCCCGCCCCCACTAGACACTTCTGGGCAGAAGGGCAATTATGTACCATTGCATGCATGTAAGATAAACAGTAGTGTGGCCCACTTGCCTTCCACGAAGGAATGTTTATTTACTCTGAAACTCCTCTGCCCTTCATTTACCCCACTATAGCTTTATGAATGCCTGATGAATAAGGACAAATAAAAGATTTTGCTAAGAAGACTTACAGCTTAACATTATGTTGGCAGTTAGAAAAGTTGAACAGAATTACTGTGTCACAGTCATGGTATTTTTATGGGAAGGATATAATATATTACTAGTTTGCCGTTGAAATATTTCTTTATCTATAAGATAAATTGCAGCACAGAGACATGTTCAAAAGTGTTTAATGGAAATATTATTTATTTCACACAAAGCAGAACATAGCATCATTATATGTTAAACATACCCTTTCTTTATACTTTATTCAATTTCAAAGTGTTACAAAATCTATCAGTGTCATCTGTTAAAATAGCAACTGTCAATAAGTAATTATAATTTATTTGTATGTCAAACTGATAAAAAAGAGCAAAAAAGAGAAAAAAGTTTTTAAGAAAAAGATGCCAGGAAAATATCTGCAAAGAATATTAGAAGATGATCCAGTTTTGCAAAGACTTCAACATCCAGTTCTTTTTGTCTATTCTACAGTAAGTGTTGAATTGCTTCTAAATTGTGGCCCATGTTTACATTAAACTTTTCAGGGTTTATATGCTAATATTATATATCACAACAACAAGTGTATTAAGTTTACTTGTAACTTGTTTGCCTGTCATCAGGGGTGGGATTCTACAGGTTGGCACCTATTCGCTAGAACCTATTGTTAACATTTTAAGCAGTTCAAAGAACTGGTTGTTAGAAGAAATTACTGGCCTAATCCTGTAAGGAAGGCAGGAAGGAAACATTCTGGTGTTGCTTACAGAAACTGCCTCTCTGTTAACCCTTATTACATTCTTGGCATGACTAGGCTTCCTGTCTCTGGAACTTCTCTGGAGTTTTTTTCTCTCCTTTGCTGGTACTTTGCTTGTGTGAAGTGACCATTCAAAGTTACAATGGCACTGAAAAAAGTGACTTATGACTGTTTTTCACACTTACGACTGTTGCAGCATCCCCAGTCATGAGGCGCCAGGCAAGGAGATGCATGCCTCAATGTGATATTGAGTTGGCCATGCCCAGCCAGTCACATGACCACCAAGCCATGCCCACCAACTAAGCCATGCTCACCAGTTGTTAAAAAATTTGAATCCCACCCCTGCCTGTCAAGGCCTGTAAGCAAAGGGCCAACTCCTGTGAGAGAATCTATGATAGTTAACTAAAATAAAATCTGGCTTAAAACCATAGCTGTTACTGATTAGAAGGTACCATCTGGTTGACATTGATTTCTTTCAACATTTCCTGTTTTTAAAATGTTACTCCAGTCACCCTGGTAATCATCCTTTTGATTGTTCAGATCTTGCAATATGCTATAGCCTAATTAATGTGATATAAATTGGGTAAAAATCCCAATCAGCAACATTTATTTAACAATGCTTCAGGTTTCTCTTTCTCTCTCTCCATCTAATAAATTCAGGTACTGAATTTTAACTAGGAAGCCAAAATCATATAACCAAGAAACAAAACATTTTTTTAATGTTTAATTTGCCTTTAGGACCTTGACTGGGTTTAGGAGACTAACAATATAAAGAAAGATCGTTTGTTGTAGTGATTAATGTATCAGGTTAGAAACCAAAACAGCATGAGTCCTGCCTTGGGCACAAAGACAGCTGGATGATCTTGAGCCAGTCACTTTCCGTCAGCCCCAGGAAGAAGGCAATAACAAACCACTTCTAAAAACAGATCCTCATGCACACACACACACACACACACACACACACACACACACACACAGAGAGAGAGAGAGAGAGAGAGAGAGAGAGTGAGTTTGTAGGAGAAAGCTGTGTGCTAAAAATAAAATGCCAGAATCAATTCCAGAGGTTTGGAATCCGTTCTTGGCATGCTGAGGATCTTTTGTGATGAGCAAACTAAAGCATTATTCTGAAATAAGATAGGATTTCCTCCCTAGGCTGGATAGGAACAGTCCACACTGTAATATAAGCTGCAGTAGGTTTTACACAAACCTTAAATGCATGTTATATTACATTAAAATATTTTAAATTATAGGAGAAATTCGTTGTATTTTTATCTTGCATCAGCTAATATTTAGGATAAAACACAATAAATAATTGCTTCTGAATAACATCCAATTTGTTTCGGGCAAAAGGGGAAAAAAAGGCAATAAGGCCCATTTATTTCATTCCAAAATCAGGGGGTTAGGACCATCCTGTAAGTTCTCCATCTTGAATAGCTTGTCTTCAGAAATAGTTGGCCCTCCATCACTGGAAGCTTTTAAGAAGAGACTGGACAGTCACTTGTCTGAAATAGTATAGGTTCTCCTACTTGGGCAGGGGGCTGGACTAGAAGACCTTCAAAGTCCCTTCTACCTCTATTCTAATTCATTCCCTAATTCTAGCTCTAATAATTTTAATCCTCAGATCCACAAGTCGTCACCCCCCCCGTCCCCCCACCCGCAGCTAACATGGCATTTGAAAGACGTTCAAAGCTGAACGCCGGAGCTCCACACGCGCACCCTCAGCCGGCAACCACCGGGACCCCACTCCCCTAGGCCAGGCACATAGGCCATCTGCCGCAGCCCCCCGCGGAACAGAAAGCATGGGAACCGGCCCCTTCGCAACTGGAGGCACCATCCCCGCCTTTCCCTCCGCACTGCTCCGCCCCTGCCACAGTGTCAGCCGCGAGGGAGAGCCGCGCAGGCGCTGGCCCGTCGCGGAGAGGACTGGAGGATGGGCCGCTTGGCGCCGCGATTGCTGCTCCTGTGTCTTTTCTGGGGCGCCTGGGAGCGCCTTCCGGGGGCCGACGCCGTCCGAAAGCGAGGACCAACCGTGACCGCTAAGGTGACTATCGCCCTGAAGTGAGAGGATCAGGAGAGTGCAGGAGGGATCGGTCCCTCCCCTTCCCATCTCCCTTCTCGTTGCAGAGGTTGAAAAGTTAACTTTGGGAGCTTAAAGCCTTTCTGCCGTGCGGTGTGCTTCGCCTCGACGGTTTCCGAGGCGTTTCCCCATTCTGGCTTGTTTCTTTTACTCCCCCCACCCTCCCCCGGCCTTATTCCTCATTCACGATCTGTAAGGTTTTGTAGAGGCAACTGCAAAACCCCGCTTGAATTGCAGAAACCTGGACAGTAGCATGCAGGTTTGTTTTTTTCCCCTTCCATGCAGTATCAACCTTATGAACTCTCAGGCTTTCTCTTTCCGCTGAGCATTCAAGATGGACCAGGATTTGTATGTATTTGTATGTATGGGTGTAGATATATATATACGTATGTATGTACATAGCATGTCTAAATGTGTGTTATGTATATGTGAGCATTTTGAGAACAGGCAACAGAATTTCACTTTTAATATGTGCCAGGGTGCCCACTGTAAAAAATGACAATAAAGGTGATCTTATCTGCACCAATTTTATATTCCTCTCTGCCCATCCCTCTTGTGCCTTCATTGACTTTGTCATTTGACCACCATCTTCCCAGTAATGGGTAACTTTTGCTTTTGTGTAATGCAGTACTGCTTTTGTGTAAGGTCAGTACTGCTGTCCTCAAGATGTAGTAGAATGATTTGGAAGAGCATGGGACACCAGAATGGAGGCATTAGACTTTTTAAAGATTGGCTGACATAACTTTTGGGTTCAGTTGTGGTCATAACTCGAGGACTACCTGTACTTTGTTCTTGTAAACAACAGCCACAGAATTTTGTAGTTTGCCAAAGTTTTTCTTTGTTCTCCTTCACATCAAACAGAGTAAGGATTATTTTTAATTTCTTAGGCTTTCCTCTCTCTCAGAACCAAGTTCTCTTTTTTTTTTTTTCTTAACAGTTCCTGCATGCCTTTGTTAAGGTTATCGGTACCTGGGCTATTTCCGCTTACTGGAAGAACAGTATAGATGTGTCAAAAAATAGTATAGCTGACCAGGTCAGTGGAACAGAAGAGGGGTGTAGAATAAGTGAGAAGGACTATGCTAAGATAACACCCTCTTGCTTCATTCCAGAGTGTGTCCTCCATCCTACTGGCCTATAGGATGAGATCTCTTTGTACACAGGTCTACTTATCTTCCTTTTGCTAGGGCTAGAATAGGAAATTGGCAAACATCTTGCCAATTTCACATACACTTTCAAATCATATCTATTGCAAGGAAGGACAGTTGGCAGGAAAAAGCTATAGCAATCAGTATCTGAGGTAGCCCATGGAGTATTCAAAATGGAGTACTCCACCCCAAAAATAATATAAATGGAGTCATCTGATGCTTGTTATCAGGAACAGTAGAAAGAACTATAGCACACTGATTAGTGTCAGAACCACTAATAGACAGTTGGTACAGTCCAGTCTCCCCCACCCTCCAGTTTAACTTAATTTTCCATGCAGAAAGAGCTATTCCCATTTCCAAAACAAAGGGCTACAACTTGGTCAGTAAGAGCTGGAAAGATTCCAGTCCATAATTTTGTCATCATCTGTTTTATTAATGATATGTTATACAATGTTCATACATTAAGACTTACATCCAAAATAGCTAAAGATAAATGTTGGCCATGTCTGTGGTATTTTTTTTGTACTGCAATTAGTGGATAGAGAGAATGAGCTTTAGTACATTCTAGAAGCATTAAAGTATTGTTCCACTGAAATAACATTAACGAGGGCAGGCTTTACATTAGATACAGATAATCAGAGTTGGAAGGGACCTTTTAGGTCATCTAGTCCAACCCCCCCCCCCCAAGTGGGAGACCCTACACCATTTCTGACAAATGGCAGTCCAATCTCTTCTTGAAGGTCTCAAGTGATGACACTCCCACAACTTCCGAGGGCAAGCTGTTCCATTGGTTGGTTGTTCTAACTGTCAGAAAGTTTCTCCTTATTTCCAGATTAAACTTCTCCTTGTTCAGTTTCCATCCATTATTCCTTGTCTGGCCTACAGGCGCTTTAGAAAATAGCTTGACTCCTTCCTCTCTGTGGCAGCCTGTCAAATATTGAAAGACTGCTATCATGTTTCCACTGGTCCTTCTCTTCCCTAGACTAGCCAAGCCCAGTTCCTATAACCGTTCTTCATATGCCTTAGTATCCAGTCCCTTAATCATCCTGGTTGCTCTTCTCTGCACTTATTCTAGAGTCTCAACATCTTTTTTATAATTATTTACGTTACATTATACATTGCTTTAGTAATGGCTGATACTTGAAGTCATATGATACTTGAAGTCATATGATACTTGAAGTCAGTAGTGAGGACCCTGTGTGAATATGTTTGTGGATGAAGGAACTGGAATGAACTTGAGATAAATACTTCCTATAGAGGAAGAATCAAGTTTTTATAGTTAGAGGAAGATCGTTGTTGGATACATATCATTGATCTGTTTTAAAGCATCAATCTTCTGGAGGCATGTAGTAGTTATACTGTGACCTTACAGTCGAATTTGGGTTAAAGACTGTAGACTTTCTTAAGGCCATACAACATTGGAAATTGTGACTGGAAGATTTATCCCTTAAATGCACATCCCTTAAAATTTAAAGAAGACAATATAATTATGAAGAAAATAGGTAAATGTAAGGTCAATAATTTTAAATTTACTTGTCTCAGATTATTCTTTCAGTGTGCATGTGTGTATATGAACAGAGGAACCCACACCAAGATTTATCAATATAATTTGTTAACAGTGTTTAGTGACGGCTGCTTAACAAGATGAAAGGAACAAGCCTTTTTGCTTTCATGCTTTCAAATTATTTCTTAAGATGTGTCTCTTCATATACTTCTACAGAATGTTTTTACATGTTAAGAACAAGAAGCAAGGAAAAATCTTGAGCAGCCCTACCTCCCAAAGATAGGTTTCTAACCTTACCACTTAAAAAAATACTATTCTTGGTTTTTCTTAAAATTTGTTTGCCCTGAAAGAGTAGTTTCCTGTCAATTTGTTTTTACTTTATTAAATTTCATGGTAGAAGAGGAGAATTTTAGACAAGAAGTGACTCTGGTCCTGCATGGATTATGTATTTATTATCCACTTCTCTAGAAGTGTATAGTATTTGCCAAAAAAAAAAGTTTGCAACGAAGCAAAGTAATATTTGCTACTTTTCTCTTAACTGCTCTTGCTTTGTATCTCAGTGGATTGGATAGAGTGTGAATGGAGCGCCAAAAAGAATATACAAAAATTTGTTCCTATTTGCCTATGCTCATGAAGCCAATAGCAAGTATGGTTTCAAAATATATTTTTATATTTTAAGCCCATAGGTCTGTGATGGCGAACCTATGGCATGCATGTCACAGGTGGCATGCAGAGCCATTTGTGCTGGTGCACAAGCTGCAAACTTACCTCACTGCGCATGTACATGCCTCACAGCTGATTTTTGGCCGGTTTGAGGCCTTTTTCGGCCTCTTGGAGGCTTGAGGAGGAAGGCTTCTGCAGGTTTTTCAGGCCAAAAACTAGGCCTGTTTCATCACTTTCTGTTTTTCCGGAAATACCAGAAGTGATGAAACGGGCCTAGTTTCTGCCTGCAGAAGCCTTCCTCAAGCCTCTGGGAGGCTGAATAAGGCCTCAAGCCGGCCGAAAATCAGCTGAAGCGCAGTGCAGGTAAGGGAGCGGCTGGAGGGGTGGGATGGGGATTGCACACACATGCATAGGGAGGGTGGGATGCACGCATTGCCTTCTGAGTGCTGGCATGCAAAGATGAACATGCAAGTACATTCACAATTTTTGCCACAGGAGCCCAGAAAGGTTAGCCACCACTGCCATAGGTTATTCATTGCTTCTGTTCATAATCATGCTTAGTGAAAATCTTTTACTGCTTGGTGTCACCCTTGTATAATACAATGCTGTTAAATTAATTATTAAAAAAATTACACTAGTGGTTTTTTTAATTAAAAATGAGATAACGCAAACATAATGTAAGCAACCCATAGTTTCTTTGTTGAGATGGTGTGCTATAGAAATTGAATATATAAAGACAAATATATTTCTTGTTATTAACAAACCTTGGTAAAGAGACCTGAAGTAGCAGGCTTTTTTTTTTTTTACTAATTGTCTAAATATTTATATTATTCTCAATATTTATATTATTTAATTAGTCCATTGGGCAGTAGTTTTATTTTATGTAGAAATATGGGATACCATTATGCCTTGGTTATTTAGCTGGAGCAAAAAAGAACAAAAGCCAGGTGTGTTCTAACATTTGACAATCCACAGATGATAGGAGGATTTGTAATTCCCTTACTGTGTAGAGTTAGTCACTATAATAAATAGTAAGCTTCAATAGGTATCAGATCAAGACCAGTTGATGAGGAATCCTGATTTTTCTTGAAGTAGACATTTAAAAGAAAAGCATAATAGAATCATGGATATATTTATGCATTCTTTAATATCACTTAATGTTTATACCTGTGTTGCAGCATATGCAGTTAATGTAATCATATAACCATCTGTGCTTCCAAACTCAAGAGCCCCTACTTTTAACTCCAGGTTCTAATTCTGGAGTCCTGAAACCTGAATCATTTCTCTGCTTTGCCACCCCTCCTTCCTGTTCTGCTTTCCTAACATATTTCTGAAAGAGAGCTTAGGACAGACATTATGAGATCATACCCCAGTGGAAACCATGATCTTAAAAAGATTGACATTCTGGTATCAATTAACAAAGCTCATCCATCATGGCTTAATATTCTTCAGTGTATTGCTTTCTAGCCAATGGACAGTCAGTGAAGCTTGAATCTCATTTTATAAATACTTTAAAATACAGCCGATCTCACCATCCAAATGACTCTGGGCAGTTTACAAATAGAATCCATAAAACTGTATAAAAGAGACATAATTAAAAACTAAATTAAAACAAAGTGAAGAACAGAATAAAAACCATTCAAGTTAAAAGA